GCTGGACTCATGTAGTCGACAGCGGTTTGAGCCCTGGACCCGTTGGCTTAAACTCACGTGTGTGCATCCATGCCCAAGATCCCGAGAGGAGAATGGAGGAGAAGGGATTGCGGCGTGGCCACCCCTGGGGGGGTAATTTCTCGCTTTCTGTCTCTGTGTCTCTCTCTTTCTGGCAAGCGCACATGCCTTACAATGAAAACTTCTCAAAAACAAAAAATAGTGGATCAAGAAAATGTAGTCTATCTATGCAATGGAAGAGTATTCAGCAATGAAAAGGAAGGAAATTCTAATACAAACCACAGCATGAGTGAACCTTAGGGGAATTATACTGAGTAAAATAAGTCAGACACAAGAGGCCAAATACTGTAGGGTTCTACTTTTTTTTATTTTTTTTGGGAGAGGTTTTTGCTATAGGGCACATGTGTTCGCCAGACAGACAGAGAGAGACAGAGAGACAGAAAGAGAGAAATCACCCCCCAGGGGGGATGGCCACGCCACAATCCCTTCTTCTCCATTCTCCTCTTGGGATCTTGGGCACGCACACACACGCACCCGGCATGAGTTTTAAGCCACCGGGTCCGGGACGCGAACCGTGGTCGACCAAGTAGGGTTTTACTCATGAGGTCTCTAGGACTTTTTTTTTTTTTTGAGAGGTTTTTGCCATAGGGAAGGTCCCTAGAACTTGTTAAAATCATAGAGACAGGGGCCAGAAGGTGGCGCGGGGGTAAAGGGCTCTGGACTCCCACATGGCTGACTCAGTTCAAGTCCTGGACCTGGAGGCTTGCTTTCTCCCTTTTCCTTTCTTTCTCTCTCTGTTTCTCTCTCACTCTGTCCCTCTCTGATCAAATAAAAATGAATAAAGTTAAGTAAAATGAGTCTTAAGCAGAATGGGGTTACCAGGTACTCAGGGGGTGGGGAGAATGGGAAGTTAGTATTTAGTAGGGGTAGAAGTCCAGGTTCGTTTTTTTCTTTTTTTTTTTCAACATTTATTTATTTGTTGAGACACTTCATTGCACTGGGTCTGGGACTTGGAACTGTAATCAGCCATCTGGGAAGCACAACCACTGGCCTGGTTTTTAATTTTTATTTTCTATAGGATGTGTGTGCTCACCCAGGAGAGAGAGAGAGAGAAATCACGTCTAGGGGGATGGCCACGCTGCGATCCCATCTCCTGTACTCTCCTCTTGGGATCTTGGGCACGCAGGCACAGGAACCTGGCATGTGCTTCACACTGCCAGGTCTAGGACTTGAACTGCTCAGTCAGCCGTGGGCGATCCAGCTGCCTTAACCACAATGCTACCAACTAGCTCCCAGACTTTCAGTTTTATAAGATGGAGAGTTCTGGTGAGGGATGGTGGTGATGGTTGCACAGGGTTAATTTTTTTTTTCCTTTTTTTTAAAAATAATTATTTTATTTAACTGTATTATTTATTTATTTATTTTAATTTGACCAGAGAGGGACAGAGTAGGAAAGAAAGGGAGAAAAAGTGAGAAAGCAAGCTGCCAGGTCCAGGAATTGAACTGTAGTCAGCCATGTGGGAGTCGAGCGCCCCCAACCACCATGCCACCTGCCTACCCCATCACGAGGGTTAATATTTTAAATGTCACCAAACCATACCCTTAAAAATGGTTTAGAAGAGGGACCAGCAGGTGGCATGGTGGTTCAGGCGCTGGACTCCCACATGGCCGACCATGGTTTGAGTCCTAGGCCTGGGAGCTGGCTTTCTTGCTTTTCCTTTCTCTCTCTGGTCAAATGAAAAAATAATGACTGGGCCGGCAGGCTAAGGAAGCTGGACTCCCACATGGCTGACTGCAGTTTAAGTCCTGGACCTGGTGGCTTGCTTTCTCCCTCTCTCTATCTCTGCCTCTGTCTCTGTTTCTCTCTCGTCAAATTAAGTAACAAGTGGAATTAAGATAAATAAATGATTCTTAAAAAAATAATAAATACGAATAAATTTAAATAAATAAATAATTACTTTTTAAAA